GGTTTGATGAAATCCTATTGAGAATAGACAACTTAGAGAGGAGTATGAGTGAATTAATGGAACTGAAGAATACAATACAGGAACTCCGAGAAGTATGCACAGGTTTAAACACTCAAATTGTTCAAGCAGAAGAAGGGATATCAGAGGTCAAAGTCCAACTTAATGAAATAAAACGTGAAGAAAAGATTAGAGAAAAAAGGATAAAAAGGAATGAGCAAAGTCTCCAAGAAATGTGGGACTATGTGAAAAGACCAAATTTACGTTTGATAGGTGTACCTGAATGCGACAGAGAGAATGAATCCAAGCTGGAAAATACCCTTCAGGATATTATTCAGGAAAATTTTCCTAAACTAGCAAAGCAGGTCAACATTCAACCCCAGGTAATACAGAGAACACCACAAAGATATTCCTCAAGAAGAGCAACCCCAAGGCACATAATCGTTAGATTCACCAGGGTTGAAACGAAGGAGAGGATACTAAGGGCAGCCAGAGAGAAAGGTCAGATTACCCACAAAGGCAAGCCTATCAGACTTACAGCAGATCTCTCGGCAGAAACTCTACAGGCCAGAAGAGAGTGGGGGCCAATATTCAACATCCTCAAAGAACAGAACCTTCAGCCCAGAATTTCATATCCAGCCAAACTAAGCTTCACAACTGAAGGAAAAATAAAATCTTTTATGAACAAGCAAGAACTCAGAGATTTTATGACCACCAGGCCTGCTTTACAAGAGCTTCTGAAAGAAGCATTACACACAGAAAGAAACAACCAGTATTAGCCTTTCTAAAAATACACCAAAAAGTAAAGAGCACCAACATAGAGAAGAATTTACACCAACAAATGGATAAAACAGCCAGTCAACATCAAATGGCAGTAACCCTAAATTTAAATTGACTGAATTCCCAATCAAAAGACACAGCCAAAACCCAACGGCATGTTACATCCAGACCTGTTTCACATGCAAGGATACACAAAGACTCAAAACAAAGGGATGGAGAAAGATTTACCAACCAAATGGAGAGCAAAAATAAATAATAAATAAATAAAAAGCAGGAGTTGCAATTCTTGTATCGGATAAAATAGATTTTAAAGCAACAAAGATATAGTGGTAAAAGGATCAATGCAACAACAAGAGCTAACGATCCTAACACCCAGATAGGAGACTTAGATTCAATGAGACAGAAAATTAATAAGAATATCAAGGACTTGAACTCAGATCCAGAACAAGTAAACTTAATAAATATTTATAGAGCTCTCCACTTCAAATACACAAAATATACATTCTTGTCAATACCACATCACACCTACCCATTAGTTTAAATGAAACATTGATTGGCCATTATTAATACCCAATTTTTTTCAAAATAAAGCAATATTTTCATTTACTCTCCCTCTTTCTTCCTCTCCTTTACTTATTTTTTTTTTCTTTCCTTCTCTCAAAAAAAAGGAAATCAACTTGTAAACCTCTAGATCCAGGTCGGCAATGTCTCTTTCATTGCTTGATTTCCTTTCTTCCCTTCCCTCCCTCCCTCCCTCCCTCCCTCCCTCCCTCCCTCCTTCCCTCCCTCCCTCCCTCCCTCCCCGCTTCCTCCCTTCCTTCCTTCATCCCTTCCTTCCTCCCTACCGTCCTTATTCCCTTCCTTCCTGCCTTCCTCCCCCCGCCCCAAAAAAAAAGGGAAAAGAAATGACCTCCACAGTGTGCTTTGTGCCTTTCTCCTTAGATTTTCTCTGATAACAAGGAAGGAGAGACAGAAGAATTTTCTGATTCTTAATGGTTTTTCACTTAAGTGACTTGTGTCATTTTGGTTGTGAGAGACGGTTGTTTGATTTATAATGTTCTTTTTTGACAATTCTCATAGAACTTTATGTAAGAGATAATCACTATTTGATCTATTGTCAGATTTGTGTCATTGAAATAATGTTTAGGATACTTTGGATTACTGCAGTGTTATAGATTGTAAGATACTGGGAAGTAGTTGGTAAAAATATCATCAAGGGCATTCAAACTCTGATGAAAGTTATCTGAAATTGCTTTATTTTATCTTTTAATTTGAAATTATGCCCAAAGCTTCTGGTTTTACATTAGTAAATGCCCTTGTAGGGATTTTGGTAGCTGTCATTCAGGAGTAGTTATCACTTAGACCTCATTAACAGACAATATTCTCTCTGAAAATGACATGGTATCTGCTGTAATCCTACAGTGTCTTAATAGTCTCTTCTATGCTCAGCAATGAAACATTTCAAAAAATGACTGACAACCAATTGATGTAATTCATGATGATCTTTTCTGTTGACAGATCTTTAAAAATCATAGGAAATTACTACTGTACCCAGTGAAACCACCTCCCTTTTTTAAGTTTAACTGCCAATATCCTGTAAAACAGGACAATTTTCTTTTTGACTGCCACTGTTTTTTATTTCAATAACATGACATGATTCCTCCTTATTATTAGGATTTCTTTTGATAGACAGAATGTGTTTCCATAGGTAATACTGATTTTAAAATAGAAATTTTTCAGTTCTCCAAATTAACTCTCTTAATTTTCTGACTTCCACATCAAGACAACCTTGCCAGTAGCCACCTTCCCACTCAGGAATAAGAATGATTTAATTCAGACGATTTAAATGTTTTAAAATGATTTTAGTCCTCCTTTAAAGGAGAAAATGATGAGAGCAAGAGAGTGACGAATTGCTTATTTTGGTGGTTATCTTTTTCTAGAGCACTCCAAAGTAAAAGGTTGATGTTTTTGGTAGTTTCATAGGATATAGTAGTCTTGTGTTCAAAACTCAAAATCTTGAATTCAGACTGTGGAATGAATGGAAAAGGGAGCTGATGTATATGAACTTGTCTAATGAGTTGTGAAGGAAAATATGGAGATCTAGTCCCAGTGTTGCCCTAACTTTTCATCTAAGAGAATTTGTTTGAATTGTATCTCTGTGTTTCAAAGTAGTTATTTTCCTAAGATTGTCAGTATGATCCTTAGTGGAGTGGAAGGGTATTCTTTTTCTTAGTTGAAACCAGTACTAGAACACTGTCATTATGAGTGGACATGTACTTTTTCAGAATGAAGTATGCTCTTTCATCCTGTGCTGGATGACATGGAAGAAGTAAGAATGTATTTTCTGATTACAGTCCTATCTGTATTTTTGTTTAATATTCCAGAGCATAACATAATTCTTACTAAAATAAAATTCCAACTTTTCAAAATTGTTTTGAAATGTCATGTATTATAAACTTCATCTTTAGTTCCAGTTTCTGCTTTGTGTCATTTGCCACTCCACATCCCTCTGGCTATCTCACTAGACCAAATGACCTAGATTAATTCATTGCCTTAAACAGCAAAACTCCCCCTACCTGCCAGAAACTCGCCATCAGACACATTCTTGTAAAAATGCAAAGTAAAGATGTAGTAAAGAGAGACAAAAAAAGAGTTCCATTCTATTTCCTGTTTGTATTTCCTTTAGACTCTAGGGAATGTGAATAGTTTTAATAGTTTGTTAGTTAAGCAATAAGTAATAGATACCACTTATTTTCCCTCTTCTTTTTACTAGAGTAGAATCAGAACAGGGAGTAGTCTAGTTGATTGCAGACCCAGAATCTTATATTTTAGTCTAATGTACACAATCATGCAGCACGTCAGGGCTACCATGTTATGCTTATGCTAAAAGGCACTGGCAGACGTCATTTAGATGAGTACATAATTGGAAGGTATGGGACGTAGTATTAGTTCCATTTAGGCTATGTGATCTAAAGAAAATCACTTGATTTTCATTTCTGTTATAATAAAATGGAAGTTATAATTATGTCCATTTAACTACTTTTCCAAGTTTATGGGAAAACAATGTAGGAAAATGAATTATGAAGTTCTTCAGAATCCTTAATTCTATACAGACAATAATAGTTATTCTTTTTCATCTTCTCTTCAAGTAATTTGTAGAAGACATCCTTTTTTTAAATAATCTGTTCTATGTAAGAAAAGATAATGTTAACAACAGAGTATTTAATTCTCACAATAACGCTGTAAAGTAGACATTATTATTGACATTTTACAAATAAGGAGATAGGGTTATAAAAGTTAAGAAACTTTTCCATGATCAAATAAGTAATAATAATAAAGTAAGTGGTTAATTTCATGGTTACTTTCAGTTTGATGCCCATGTTTTTTCTTCCACAAACTGATGGAGTTTATTAGCTATTGTAATCTCTCCTAACATCTCTCTCTTCATCATGCATAATTTTGAAACATCTTGTTGCCATTTTAATTATTTCTGTTCATTTAGTGATTATTTGTTTAGTTCATTTGACAATGTTTTAATTGGCAGGCACCATGGTAAACAGTAGCAATTTTTGTCCTTAGTCTGATCTTTTTTAAACAGAAGAAAACATACCTTTCAAATAGAGTGATAACCCATAATAAGGGTGAATACAAAATATTTTGGAATGCTGTATTAGTCCATTTTCATACTGCTATAAATAACTGCCAGAGACTGGGTAATTTATAAGGAAAGAGGTTTAATTGACTTGCAATTTAGCATGGCTTGGGAGGCCTCAGGAAACTTACAATCATGGCGTAAGGCAAAGGGGAAGCAAGGACCCTCTTCACAAGGTGCCAAGAAGAAGTGCTGAGCAAAGTGGGAAGAACCCCTTATAAAACCACTAGATCTCATGAGAACTCACTCACTATCATGAGAACAGCTTGGGGGAAACTGCCTCTATGATTCAGTTACTTCCACCTGGTTTGTCCCTTGATACATGGGATTTTGGGGATTATGGAGATTACAATTTAAGATGAGATTTGAGTGGGGACACAAAACCTGACCTTATCAAAGGCTTCCTAGAAGAGGTAAAATGAACGCCCATGCTTTAACATGTGCTTTGCCAGAATATGGATCACCTTTGCCATCATGCCTTTCATTTGTCTTGTACCAGCATATTCATATGGAGCCATTCATTCTGGGGTGAATAGTCAAATGACTTTTACATGTGTTTGTTGTTTTCTAGCTCGTCCAGATTATTATCAACACAACACATTTGGAGAAATCCTGTAAGTACTTGGAAGAATTTATCACCAACATCACTAATGTGCTTCCGGAGACAGTTCACACTACCAAGCTCTATGGCACCACAACTTTTAAGGTGAGAGGCCCTACAGTTCTGTGGAACTGCTTCTGGTGTACACAGTCTGGGATATTCTACCTGACATGACCTTGTTTCTGCAAGATGGCTTATAACATGCTTTTGAGAATAAGTGTTTATGATATGTTTGGTTTCCCTTCTCTATTTTCTTTGAAAAAATAAATACCATTGCTAGTTTTTGGGTGTTTAAACAAAACAAAACTACTACAACTGTGTCTCTAAACCCTTCTTTATATTTTATACATGTACATCACCATTTCCTAAGTTGAGCCCCATCATAGTCAGATTTTCTACTAAGCTGTCCCCTGCTTGCTGTATCCTGTGACCAGATTTTTTTTTTTTAAACCAGATCTTGCTCTGTTGCCCAGGATGAAGTACAGTGGTGCAATCTTGGCTCGCTACAACATCTGCCTCCCGGGTTCAAGCAATTCTCATGCTTCGTCCTCCCAAGTAGTTGGGATTACAGGCATGTACCACCATGCCCGGCTGGTTTTTAGTATTTTTAGTAGAGATGGGGTTTCACCATGTTGCCTAGGCTGGTCTTAAATTTCTGGGCTCAAGCGATCCACCTACCTTGGCTTTGCAAAGTGCTGGGATTACGGGCATGAGCCACCACACCTGGCCCTGTGACCAATTTTTTAATCTGACTTTGTAATGAGGAATTTCTGTCCCTGCTTTTCTAGTGAGTAATTTTATAATTTCACATATCCATAGCACTAATTTTGATCCAGAGCTAGATCAAATGGGAAGAAATGACAATCATGTAGAACAAAAGAAGTATTGATGGTAGATGAGTTTCTGGAGGGTAAATGCTGTAGCTCAGAGCAGCTTTAATAAACTCTTTCATATTATATGAGCTTTAAATAGGTATTAAGCAGTTGAAGTAATAGGACAACATCTCAAACATTAAAAATGTACATCTAACATATAGGCTGCTTATATGGTTTGAGTTTTCGTTTATATTGTTGTTATTTGATTTAGTTTTAAAACATATTCTCTGTTACCCTTTTGAAATCCAGAAATTGATATTAATTAAATGTACAATTGTAGAATTGAAACTATGATTTATGTCACCTGTTGTCTGCTTTTTTCCATCAGCTTATCCTGTTTCTCTATTTTTGGTACACTATTTTGACAGTAGTCACACGAGAAGAAATAAAATTTGATTTATACTGCTATTATACTTTGGGGCAGATAAAAATTATTGGTATGATTTACTATTTTTCTATTGCTTGAAAAAAATGCAGTGTTGAATCAGAAAATATTGATGAATCTATGTGATTAGATCAGCTGCTAGATTAAGTTACACATTCATCAAGTGGCTATAAATTATTTTTTTTTAAATAGCAATAAAATTACAATAGCAAAGACCTGGAACCAATCAAAATGCCCATCAATGATAGACTGGACAAGGAAAATGTGGTATATATACACCATGGAATACTATGCAGCCATAAAAAATGATAAGTTTGTGTCCTTTGTAGGGACATGGATGAATCTGGAAACCATAACTCTCAGCAAACAGAAAATCAAACACTGCATGTTCTCACTCATAGACGGGTGTTGAACAGTGAGAACACATGGACACAGGGAGGGTAGCATCACACACTGGGGTCTATTGAGGGGGGCCAGGGGAGGTACAGCGGAGGGGTGGGGAGGTAGGGAGGGATAATATGGGGAGAAATGCCAGATATAGCTGATGGGGGGATGGAGGCAGCAAACTACATTGCCATGTGTGTACCTATGCAACAATCCTGCATGATCTGCACATGTACCCCAGAACCTAAAGTACAATAAAAAAAAATTCATTACACATCATGTTATGTTCATATCATGACTTCCAAATTTTTCAAGGATGTCTAATGATATTAATATGGATGTGCTTTTAGTGAGGAAAATAATTATTTAATGAAAAAGCCCTGAGAATTAGTATGAAATACAAGAGCTTTAAGAGCTTCAGAATGACCTTAGGCAGTTTTATCGGAATTATAATTACTTGTAAATGCTAGCATTATTATGGAGCTTGGGCAATAAATTTATCAAAAAATATTTTTATATTTGTTCTTCTGTGAAAGCCAAATTTTCTCTAGGAAAGAAAACGTAAAAATAAATAGTTCAGTGTTAAGTAGATATAGGGAGTTAGGGAACTGGGACGTGAGGTTCCTTTACACTTGTCTTTCAAATGAAGAATATGTGGTATCTACTGATACTCTTTCTCTCAACCCGTCTCAGATTTTTTTTATGTCAATGGTTTTTCAAATTACATTAAGAAATTCTCTCAAAGGATGGCTTATGTATTTTGTTGTTGCTCTAGCATGAAAAAATGCCGAAGGAAAATTAAAGGCAGCCAGGAAGCCATAGGGGCTGAACAGCCAGTTAAATACTTAGTGAAGGAGAAGTTCTGGAGACCACTAAAGGTCATGTTGACAGTGCTTATTGGAAAGACTGATTGCTTAAAACACACTGAAAATTTATTTTTACCAGGGCTGTTTCAGACTAGCTAACCCAGAACTCAATATAAACATGGCAATTATAACAGCTACATGTTGTGTATTTTCCTAAGCTACTGTTTCCAGAAAACTTTCCCTTTCAGATGGAAACCTTTATGCTGGAAAAAGCGTAGAAAGAGTCTGAAGGTCTTTAAGGTATTTTCTTGCAGAGTTCCCTCTTATTTCTGCCATGTGTGACATAATCAAGCTGGCATCCTTAGCTTTCCTTATTCATGAGATTTTCCTCATTCTCTTACAAAAGAGAATGAAAGTGTTTATTAATTTACTCCATTATAAATATTGCTTTTGTATCTACCGTGTGACCATCTGGTAGATTCTTGGAGAGAGACAGAATAAGTACTTTGTCCCCGGACTTAAAATTTATGATTTACGGGTAAAACAGACACTATACTGGAATAATACATTAGACGTATTCAGTTCCTCGTTTATTTAACAAGTTTTACTACAGTATTTACTACCAATTAGGGAAAGTTTCAGGCATGAACAAAAAAAATGAGTCTCCTGACTTTACAGATATATTTTAACGAATTAGTAGATGATAATCAAACATAGAAATCTAATATAATGGCAAATAGTGATAAGAACTGGGACAAATAATAAATGACCTGAAGGAAGTGAGAAATTAAATCATTTGGATTTCTGATGGATATGCATTCCTGTCAAAGGGAACAACACAGTGGTAAATATGGGTGTGTTCAAGAAATAGCAAGGGGGTCAATCTTGCATTGATGTATCTATCACTAGCGGTAGAGATGATAAGAGATGAAGTATTCAGGAGTTAGGTGATTTCAATACTGTACATTGTATTCTGAAATGAGATGCAAAGTCATTAGAAGATTAAGTTGTGGGGGGTAATGACTTGAATTATCATTTAATGTGATATTGATTTTTATGTAGACATAAATATACTGTAATTTAATAAAACAAAAAGAAGAAAGTCTAATCGGGAGGTAGTTGCAGTATACCAGGCAAGAGAGAAGGTCACTTGAACTAGTGGTAGAGGTAGAAGTGGCAAGAAATACTTTTGAAGGTATAGATGTCAGGTCTTACTACTAGATTGCATGTGAGTATTAAGAAAAAGAAAGGTGTCAAGGGTAGTTCCAAAACTTTCGAACTGAGCAAACTGGATGACTACTGTTTACTGAGATGGGGAAAACTTAGAGAACAATACACTGGGAGAGCAGAAATAAAATTTAGACTTCTGTTTTTGATACATTAAGCTTGAGATATTTAACTGATAGCTATATAGAGGCAGGAAGAAATCATAGCTGAAGACAAAAATTTAGAGTTCAACAGTGTAAAGATGATATGTGGTGCCATAGGATGGACTTCCTTCTGGGGTTTGAGTGTAGATAGAGGAAAGGTGTGAGGATTGAGATCCAGGGGGCTTCAACATGGACAGGTTCAAAAGAAGAGAATTCCAAAGAGAATGAGGTCCCAACTTTAGAACCTCCAAAGAAGACTTCCCAGACATGTATAAATTGGAATGGATCTTGGAACCAGCAGGATATTTCCAGGCAGAGAATGGATATAGAGGGAGTGAGGGATATTTTAACTTCATGTGCAAAGATGAAATGGTAAAATAAAGCCAGTATTCAGCATAGAATTAGGATGGCAGTGAGATATAGAAATAGATAAATGCCAACCTGAGAAGCACTTTGTTTTATATTAATAGATAATTTGGACTTTAGTCTAAATTCTTTGAAAGACTTCAAATGAAGGAGTGTTGCATTTAAAAAAAATAAACATTCCAATATGCCTCATTGAAAGGAAGGAAAGAACTAAAAAGAAGAAAAGAAAAGATGAAAGTAAGAAAGGAAAGGAGAGGAAAGAAGGAAGAAATAACAACATCAATCACAATTACAGTTTAGGATGAGAGGAAATTGATTTCCTAAAAGTCTTTATGTAACTATGCTAATAAATTTGAGGGTCTGTAGGGAAATAAATATGACATGATAAGGAAAAGATAAGGAAGAGGAAAGCTTAAAGATAGCTGACTAGAGGTATTTCACACTCACCTCCTCCACTAGGAAGTACCAACATAATGAGTAGATGATCACACTTCAAATAGATCATCCGAGAGAGAACACTGGAATTCAACAGAAAAGTGACAGTAAATGCCTAAACAAGGAAGGGGAAGGAAGCGAGTAGTCTGCTCAGTAGGATCTCCTGGGAGCTGAGGGAGGATCCTTAATATGAGGAAAAGGTTAGTGAGAAACTGTCAGTGGTGTCCATTTCCACTATGGACTCCTGAAATCCTGGTCACAGGAGAGTCTCTTGAGCCTCACTTGCCCTGAAACTCACGTAGGAAGACGCTGGGAGATTGTGTGATGACACTGGTCCAGGGAAGGAGCTCACACTGAGTCACACATGTTCTGTGATACCTAAGCAATTATAGCAAGAAGCCATTTTAGAGCCCTGCTTCCAACAGAGCACGTTATCCTGTAGACCACTGGCACTGGGGCTTAGGTGCAGGAGAAGCATGCTTGC